TGAAAGCACATGCTTCTGCAGTGAGGCAAGCCTGAGTCCTGGTCCTGCTACTTACTTTGGACTACTCTGGCCAGTGCACTAATCTCTCAGCCATTTTAATAAATGTGTGACCTTGAGAGATTCTTTAGCTTCTCTGAGTTTCAGTTTCCTCACCTGTAAAATGAGGATAATAGAAGTACTTATGGCTCAGGGTTTTGGGGAGGATTACATGAGGTAATATATGTAAAATGCCTGTCACTTAAAAGATGCTCCAGATCACGAGCTGTGTGGTTTGGGCACCTTTTTGCTTTTTATTTATTTATTTATTTATATTAATCCACCCTAAGCCTGCTACATATATCTCCCAGTGCTTATCTTAAAGGATTAATCCATGTAGAATTCCTTGCTATGTACCCAGTCACAGTAAGAATTCAAGAATAACCAGCTCTGGTAACTCTTTTCTCTCTCTCTCTTTTTTTAAAAAGATTTATTTATTTAAACATACAGAACTGGGGTACAGGCCAGAGGTGCAGGGGGTGGTGGGGGTGGTGGTGAGAGGATTGATCAGAGACACAGTGGGGAGCAGAACAGGTAGATTGACTCAAATACACTGCTGCGGGGAGCAGCGGGCGAGACAGGAGAGGTCTGCTGCACCTTGTGGGTCACCTCCCTGGCTGGGGATCGAACTCCTGCTGCAGTGGCTGCAGATAGTTTCATAGTGCTGCGCTTTAACCTATTGTGCCACTAGGGAGGGCCCGGCTCTGTAACCCTTAGCCGTCCATCTACCTGGATGCCTAGTCTCTCTGGACAGACACCCCTCTTCCCACCTTAGTGGCTGTTGCCACGTCCAGCCCACCCACCTGTGTGCTGTGCCTCCTTTCTGTCTCAGTTCCCTGTAAAATGATGGCCTGAGCCACTGTTCTGACCCTCCAGGCCTGTTGTGGGTCACTGTGTTTTGGTTTAGTCGCAGCTGGCCAGGCTTGTGGCAACCACCCCAGCTGCATGCAAGCCCTCTAAGCCATTACAGAACCCCTGAGAACAGGTCCAACTTTGTCATTCCTAAAGGGGCCTCTTAATGGTGCCTGCTCCTGTTAGTACCGGGGGAGATCATGAGTGTAACATGAGTAGCAAGTGCCCAGCCAAGAGTGTTGCGGCTACCACTTACTGAGCGCTCATCCTTTGCCAGGTTTATGTACCTGGGTTTGTGTGCTGGCATGGAGGTTGCTACAAGCCTTGCTTGCCAGCTGGGAGTAAACCAAAAACACAGTAACCAACACCAGGCCCCTGACAGGTCCGAACAGTGAGCTCAGGACACCTAACAACCTTGTTTGGGAGAAGGCTTGGCAACCATTTTACAGCAGGGGCCTGGGGCAGAAAGGAGACAAACTGCCCACTAGATAACCACACAGGTACAGTTGGGGGGGTGAGAGATGGGGGTTGGTTCACCCTGGGTAGGGGAGGGGGGCCTTGTCCAGAGAGAAGGAAGACTAGGCAACTATTTTACATCATTTTGTACATTTTTTTCCATCTCAATTGTAATCCCCGCGGGTTTCCCATCACCGAGTCACCCGTGTGCCACCACCATAATCCCGTGCATAGGCAACTATTTTAATGAGCATGTGCAGTGGGGGTTGTGTATGTGTGTGATGTAGCGACTAGAGATGGTAGTAAGTGGGCTGAGAGGAGAGACCCCATCTTGTCACCTGAGGAAAAAGTGAAAGGATAGTGCCAGCATGTGGCAGATGTGGAATTTGAATCCAGGTACACAGGTCTCCAAAGCTCATGCTCTTAATCATTACAGTAGTAATAGCTGCCCCAGAGTGGGTACACAAGAAATATCTCTTGAATGAAGAAATCCTACTGCCTCTTTCTGCAAAGTTTTCTCTCTCTCTTTGTCTACCTGGATCCATCTGAGGCCCAGCTCAAATGCATCCTCATCTCAACGATGTATTCTCTTTCTGTAGCTATGGGGTGGGGGAAACAAGAGGCATCAACATTGGGGTGAGGAAATGTGGGGTGCAGGGATAGGCCAGAGAGGGTGGACCCTGAGGAAGGACTGAGCTTTGCACAGGTTTTTTTCCCGAGAATTTGAAGCTGCTTCAAGGACTGGATCCACCCATAACAAAGTACCTCACAGTGGCTCTGATTGGTTAAAATCATAAATTCCAAGCATTTAGCAACCATGTGTGGGGAAGAGGATCAGAAGCCATTTTAGGTCAGGAGACTAAGAAAAAAAAAGTGAGGCAAATGTCTACCAAGCCAACAAACAGCACATGCACAGGAAGAGGGGAGGGAGGGTAAGTGAGAGGAGCCCATTGTGAGTAAAGTGCCGCTTCAAGGACTGTAGGGTCTCTAAGCTCCTGGGCATTTCCGCTGATGAAACCCTATAAACCAAGGATACTGAGGTTCTAAGGATTCTAAGCTCCTATATAGCCAATGGGTCAAGGACTTGAGCAATTTTTGAGCTATGAAATGCTGGCAGTGCTGGAGCTTAGGGCATAAAACAAGGACTTGAAACTGCAGAACACTGGACACATTAAAATGTTAATCCTCCTTCAACTTCAAATCTTAGTTTAACCCTTGGGTTTCGAAATGGTCTTCCTCACAGTCTAGTGCTCTCTAAAGGCACCATAAAGAAGGGAGGGGAGTCAGCTAACAAGATAGAGGGCACCAGGGTAGGAATTCTAGGCTGGGAGCAGCTCCATGTTGACTGGGTGTATATCGGGCTTCAAAAGAAGTGTTCCTGCTGAAGCCAACGGAGCCTGCAAAGACCAGGGCCGGAAGCCACATCTGGCCCCTGGCCCTTATGAGTTTTTTAATGGACAAACACTGTAGAGAGTTGAGAGATCTGCAGGAGATGACAGAGATCAATCATTAGTTGACTAAACTAGTCATTAGCTGACTCCAGTCTAGAAGCTCATTTCAGTTATAAAATTAATAATACCCTCTACTTTGACTCTAATTCCAATGACTACTACCACTTACCCAGTGTTTTTACTATGTGCCAGGGGCTGTGCTGAGTACTTGGCATATATTATTAGCTCATTAAATCCTCGCAACCTTGACAGGAAGTATCCTTATTAGCCCCATTTTACAGATGAGGTGTTGGAGCTCAGCATCAATAAGTAAATCGCCCAAGGTCATGACAGCTAGGCAGTAGGTTCCACTTTATTTACAAGCAGTAACAGAATGGACTAAAAGAATGAAAGAGGTCAAAGGTAAACTGCCTGGTGGCCTTAATTAAGGAACCAGGTTAAATTTTGACCAGTAGATGGCGCCCGCGTGTTTGGTGGCCCGGTGGAGGCCGTGTTCCCTCCAGGGAAGTCCCAGCCAGGGCTGAGCACTGAAGCAAGCCCTGTTCACGTCGAGGGAGGGGGCAATCAAGATGACCAGCATTTTGCTCTGGATTCAGATGTAGTTACCCTCTCCCTCTGTAACTAAGAAAAGATAGGGAGAAAGAAGCAAATGAGGGGACAAAGGAACTGCCTTAAGAAAACCTGAGAATCTTTTTCCTTCAACATTTCCTGAGTGCCTCATTTGTGCAGGTAGCGTGCTCTGTGCTGAGCTGGCGCAGGCATGTGGAACACGGTGCCATCTTACTGCACAGGAAGGGGGAGGGTACGTTGGTAGGGAGGCACTAAAGCATGATCTATATGGGAGTACCCACCCTACGCTAGGGGTGCTGGGGAGTGTTCTTGCAGGAGAGGTGTCTGAGCTAGTCCTATTGGATGCCAAAGTGGAGAGGCTTTCCAAGTGGAGATTTAAAGCTACAGAGAGGTTAGAAAGCACGAGACATTCCCAGAGAGGCAGTGTAGGCCTCGTGTTAAGAGGCGTGTGAAGAGACAGGCCACTGACTGGACAACCTAAAATATGGAGCTATTTGTGATTTGTAACAGTATTAGTGGAGAAGACGTAGCTTTTTCAAGAGGATCTGTGATTAAAGAAAAAACAAAAACCAGTGCGATGGTTGATGAGCCAATGAGGAGCCTGGGCAGGGCTTTAAGCAGAAGCACAACATGGCCTGGCCTGGAAGCCAGTGTGCAGGATGCAATGCAAGGGAACACTCTTAGGGACAAGAGTGGGCATGAAGGCCTGAGCTGTGGAAGATATGAAGGGAACCAGGGAACCGAGGGGGTAAAAGTGATAGGAATTCGTAGCCCCCTTCCCCACATGCACGTACCCACCAGCAAGGCTCAGGGGAGCGCCTCTCACCTCTTTCCACACCCCAGGCCTCAGCCCCACTCTTAGCCTTTCCATTGTCCTCTGGGGGCTTTTCCCCTTTCTTTCCAAGTAGTCTTTGACATTTACTCAAGTCTGATTTCACAAGTTGATGGGAAGGATCTGGCGGATGTTGGGCCCCCAGGCCTCTGTTCCATGGAGAAAGGTCTGTCAACTAACCTCATGTAGAACAATGAATTGGCCTTGAGCTGGTCTCTGACCCTCTGTCCACAGCTTCACCACATGGGCAGAGTTCAGTTAAGAAATCAGACAGTTCCAGGAAAAAGGCAAACATCATCTGGTTTATTTTTCTCCTGATTCATCTCCTGTCAACACACAGACCCCAATAGATGTCAGGTGATGTGGGGGAGGAGAAAGAACCCCAAAGAAAGCTGATTTTCCCTTCCCCCCAGGCCCTTCAGAAAAGCACTCTGACTTTGCTTGGACGTGCTGTTGTGTCCCAGGAGGTGAAGCCAGAAGTCACGATTTCCATGGGGAGACAGAACTAGGAAGGTCAAAGGAAGGGCCTTGAAGAGAGACTCTTCCCACTGTATGGACATGCTCATTCCTACCCTGCTTCCTGGGCATGAGGGGAGCTACACAAAGCAGGTCTTCCTTCCCCTTGAGCACCAAGTACCAACACCATAGCAGTCCACATAACGAGGTGTCAGAGGCCTGCGCTCAGAGGCCAGCTGGGAACAACCTGGGGTGCCAAGTGACTCAGAGACCCAACTTTCCATCCAGAGAGCTGAAGATCCCTAATTAATTGATGCCCTGAGCTTTGCCAGGCATCCTGACCCCCTTCAGTTTGGACAGGGCATGTGTGGAGAAGGAAGATAAACTGCGGCCCTGTGCCGAGCTGACCCGGGAACCCTCACACACTCTGCCGGCCCCTTTTCATCTGCCTCCTCATTCTCCTCCTCTTCTTTCTGCTCCTGTTCTCCTCTTTGCTCCTTCTCTTCCTCCTCTACTTCTTCGCTCTCTGAATCCTCATACAGGTTGATGGTTGCCTGGACAGGGAAGTTCTGTAGTAAAATCTCCCCATCTCTGTACAGGTAGTCAAAGGAGCGGGATTTAGGCCAGAAGAGCCTGTGGGCAGAAAACAGAGAAGGCCCCAAACTTGGGTCTTATATAGGCAAAGGGTTCAATGGGGCCAAGAAGGCAGTCAATTCCTAAGCTGTCTCCTACCTGCAGGAAAAAAGGGAAGGAAGAAAGAGAGCTTTTGTGACAAATACATGGATTTTTACACAATGGCCCCCAGTGTGAAGGTAGAACTGTTGGGCCATAACTGTTGGGGGAGGGCCGCCCCAGCATCTGCCAGTTCTGACACTGATCCCACCCCCAACCCCAGAAAGCCTCTAGCCGAGAGAATTATCTAGACCTAGGTCCTTTATCTCCATAGAAGCCCAGTTTCAGAGCTCACTGATGATGCCTCCAGGGCAGGTAACCTTGACCAATCCCTTAACCTGTCTGGGCTTCAGTTTCCTGGGCCCTGACACAGTGAACATAGCAGTGCCTCCCCCTTCTCCCTCACAGGGCTGTTGTGAGGATTTAAAGAGCCGATGGACCTATGTGATGTTCTTAGCTGGGTGGCAGAAGCTCACCTGACAGGGTGGTGGAACTCGCAGTCAGCCTTGGTGACCTCGGCTCTTGTTGCCCCACCAATGGCCTGTCCAAAGCAAAAAGTAGCATGTGGCTCAAAGTACAGGGCCAGATAACTGCTTCCTCCACGTCAGAGGTCAGACACCTGCAGGTAAAATGATCTGGGAGAGACCTGAGGTATCTCTGGGGTTCAAGCTCCCACCCCCACAAAAGGGGTCTGTCCTCATTGTGGGTGAAAAACAAGTGGCCAGAGTCCTGGAGGTTGTTTGCTTTCCTGCCCCTGTTCTGTCATCTGCTTGGAGACAGTCCAGGGGACAGAGTCTACTGGAGCAGCAAAGATTTTGGGGGCAGAGGTAGGGAAAGAGTCCTGGGGTGAGATGCCAGCACTCTAGCCCTGGCCCTAGCGCCACGAGCGCAGAGGAGCTTCGGGCCTGCCCAGATTCCTTCCCCATGCTGGGCGTCCATTGCAATTTTCAGATCGCCTCGGAACCCTGGGTGTTGCCCTCCTCCCAGACCTTTGTGGGAATCAGATATGCGCTAGCAGTGAAGATGCTTCCCGGGTGAGGCAGCCTGGCCTGATACCTGGGGCTCCCTGGGAAGGGACTTGGGCAGGGTGTGTCTGTGAACCCGTGTCACAGAGGCTCGAACTCACTCACCTGCTTTACACGATCATTGGTAGAGGACATCCAGGGCCTCCAGAGATAAGCTTCTCTCGGACTGAGAGGGGAAATCAGTGGCGGAGGGAGAGAGTTCAAGGTGGACTTCCTGGAATAGCAAAAGAGGCCTCCAGAAAACTGGGTTCCAGGAAGTCTTTCCTCCTCTGCGCTCCTCTAAGGCTCCTACAATGTTATCATTTGCTCTTATCACACTACTTTGTACTTGCTGACCTGCCTTTGGGGTTCTTAAGGGCAGACTTCTGTTTGATGGAACTGAAGCCTCAGCTCCTAGTACAAAGCCAGGTACACACTTGGTGGTGCAGCAAATGTTTGTTGAATGTGAAATGTTGGGAGGAACGAGCAAGGGTTGAGTAAGAGACCGCTTGCCCACTCCGAGTACAGAATCCTGTGATGTTCCCAGCCGGTGAAAGACATTTTCCTGGGCCCAGCGCTTCCCGCCCCCCCACTCCCGGACTTGCAAGGGGCTGAAGAGGCGATTGGGAACCTGGCAGCACACTCACACTAAAGGGTGCTGCCTCAGAGGCATCAGGGGCCTCTTTTGGCCCCTCCGCAGTCTAGGCTGTGTGAAACTCGGGTTTCGGGGCCATACCCCTGGGAGCCCCTTGGCCTCAGAGCTCGGTGGTTGCACTTTCAGTTGTGCTGGCGCCTACTGTCCCCCAGTCCCCTCTGGCTACCCACAGGAATTAGTGAGGTGAAAAGCCAGTTGAGGGCACAGCCCCAGATCTGGAGGGGGGCCCTCCCTGAGGGCTGTGAGGGATTCCCTTGGCATCTTCTTTTCCTTCCTTTTCAGGGCCCAACGAGGCCTGCATCCGGGTTCCCAACGACCAGGTCCCACTTACCTTTCATTCCCATGCACTTCTTGTCCAGGGGCAGGAAGGGGCGATGGGCTTAAGAGACCACGGAGTGCCAGCGGGGCCTGGGCTGAGCCGGGGGCAGTGGCAGCAGCCTCCATCCTCTTGGCATGTCAAGGCCAGACAGGCTCTGGGGCACCTCCTTCTTGGGGCCTTTCCTGGGAGACCCTTTTATAAGGCCTGATGAACTCATAAATTATTCAATGAAGTGCAGCCATGGGGGACCAGGGTGGGGGGGTGATGATTTAAGAGGGAGGCCCAGGGAGGGAAAGCTTGGTCTCTGGGTGTGAAATTTCTCCCAGTTGAATAAACACAATGTCAGTAGGGAGTAAAGGGTTTTCTTTTTCTCCAGGTTGGAAAGGAAAACAGAGAAGGGGCAGGTCACACACCGTTTGTGTGAATTCCCAGGCAGTAGCAGGCCCAAGAAGGGGGAAAGGAGGGAAGCTCATTAGCACCCCAAACCACAGAAAATTGCCCAGCCTGAGGGTTGGATAGACAGGCCTTTCACAAAGCTGGTTCCCAGCAAGAAGGGCAGGTGACCCAGCAAAGGAGAGGAAGGGACTCGCATGTTATTTCAGCTCAAGTGCCACATGGACTCACCAGGTGAACCTGACATAGGTGACTGTCAATAAGCACATCACTTGGGCTAGGAGTAAACAGGGTTCTGGGTGGAGTGTGCCCAGTGCCTCTGGGGTAGTCCTCCAAACTTGTTTCTGTGCCCTCCCTCTGCTGGGCAGCTCCATTGCTGGTACCTGAGTGCCTCTGGACTTGAGCAGCAAGGTGGGATGAAGGCCCGTACCGGGCGACGCTTGCAGGTCCAGGTCAGGCTGCAAGTGTCAGCGCTCAGCTTCCAGCCCAGAGGCCAGGGTGCTGAGGAAGCGGGCTCCGCCTGGCTGCGAAGCTCTGAAGGACCAGCCCTGGCCCTGGGACCTCAGTTCCCCCACCTGTGAGCTGCGGCTGCTAGCACTGCAGCCCCGGGCCCTGCCAGCCTGAACACTGTGATGGGGACTGGTACGTGGGTACTGGCCCAGGGCAAGTCAGTGGGGTGAGTCCAGTTCTCCAGTGTGGCCAGTCTTCTGGGCCTGTGCCAAAAAGCCTCCAGTTACAACTCCTGGCTGACTCCTTGTGCTTTAGAGGTCCTGAAAATAGGGCTCCCGACCTCAGTGTCCAGCCCCAGCCAGGGCTTAGTTTCTTGGCTCTTCATCACAGCTGGGTTTCTAATCATCCAAAATTAGAAACGACCTCAGTGTCCAATAGTAATCGGTATCCAGTTCCATTAACTAGAGGCGTTCTTGCAACCTCGTGCTAAGCAGGCACTCACCCATCGTGTTCTAGGAAGAAAAATTCTCAAAGCAGAAAGTCCTGTGCGTGTGTGCAAGCACATTTGTGTGATCAGATGCTAAGCAGTGTGAATAATTTGAAGGGTTTCTCCTGTTCCTGTTCACCCACCCCTATCTCTACCCATTTCAAATCCAGCCCCACTGTGTTATCTGTGGCAAAGGAAAACTAGAAGTCTTTATCTTTAGTGCCTCACCTTTAAAAAGCTGCTTTAATAAATCATTGAACAATACAATATCATAGCATTAAAAGTGGCTTGGTAGGAGTTTGGTTAATTAGTTAATATGTTGAAGAGTAAAATATAAAATAAGCTTCTACAATGTAGCTTGGATGATGATTCCATTTTGGTAAGACAAACAGTGAAATATGCAGCATACATGGAAAAAAGACTGGTTAGAAGAAAGGAGAATGTTATAGTGATTTGTTCTGGGACTAAAATTATTTATTTGTGCATACAAGAACTGGGGTACAGGCCAGAGGGAGGGGGTGAGAGGATTCACCAGAGACAGAGTGGGGAGCAGAACAGGCAGATCCATGAAGTACACGGCTGAGGGGAGCAGCCGGTGGGTCAGGAGAGGTCTGCCGCGCCATGTGGAACACCCACCCTGGCCTGGAATCTAACTCTTGCTGCAGTGGCTGCTGATAGCTTCTTAGTGCTGTGCTTCAACCCATTGCGTCAATAAGGAGAGCCCTGGATTTTTTACTTCTTTATGCTTTTCTGAATTTTCTAAACTGTTGTCTAAATGTTGAAACTATTTGAGTAATAAGAAGACTCAGATAATATTTTATTTTTAAAAGAAATGCCCGATGGTGGGTGGGGGGAAGAGAAAACATTTTGGAGAAATCACAGCCATTTTCAAATGTCTGAGGATTAGACAGCAATGAGATTACACTTGTCCTGTGTGACTTCAAAGGGCAAGGCTAAGCCCTTGGGTAAAAGCTACAGGAGGCCCATTTTGGCTCAACTAAAGGAAAACTTTCTAACAGCCCATCCACCACCTAACCCAAGGGCCTGGCACTGCCCCGGCCCTCAATAAACAGCCTTATTATATGTGGCGAAATGAGCCCAGTGGAATGCACTGCTGTAGACGGGCTAAGCTCTCTGCCTCTGAACTGAATTGTGTAAGTGAAGGCTGCATCCTGGATCCTGGAGAGGGAAATTGGCTGGGGGAGGGGCAGGAGAAAGGAGGGCTGCTGAGGAGGCCTAGCTTCCAAGGGCCTCAGGCTTTTTCTACACCTCTGGCAGCAATGGCTAGTGAGGTTGACAGAAATATCCAGGTAACAACCCTAGGCTAGAAGCAGGATTTTTTTTTTCACCTCTAATTTACCATTGTCTCTGAAAATAGGCAGTAGGAAAGAGAAATAAGTAGACATTTTTTTTCCAGAGCCCAGGGCCTAGGCCCAACCAGATTCAGTCACTCTCACCTTGAACTCCTATACATTCCTCCACACTCCATGACTGGGGCTATCTGGCTCCTTTCTGCCCTGAATAGCAGACCTGGGGTTTGCCTCACACCCACTCCCAGCTTGCTTTCCTAGAGCCTTGAAGCCTGTCACCATGGCTCTGTTTTCTCTCTACACAACTGCTCTATCTTGCTGTTTCCTAACAATTGCCTTCATCTCCTTTAGCTTGTGGATGATGAAACCACTGGCCCCGCTTGCTGACCTCTCTGCAGCCTGAAGGATTTAAGGCCTGCAAATGTTGCCAGGCAAAAGTGAGAGCCTGGCTAGTCTTCTTTGCACTTAGCATAGAACATGAGTATAGTCGTCAGTAGGGTGGGATGAAAAGTCTGGAACAATCAAAATGAAGAATTTGCTGTCGAAGCAATTATGATCCTATCTGTTGCCCCAAACAGCCCAGTCTGGGGGTTGTCGGTGATTGTTTTGTCAGATCCTTAGAAGAAGATTGGGTGCGTCCCCCGGAGCAGAAACTGGGGCATCCCGTGGCAAGGACATGCACTGGAAAGAGGAAAGTGTTCTGGGCACTGCCCCATGGTGCTTATAGCCTGGGAAGGGAGACAGGAGCTACACTGAGGAAGATGAACTCAGTCAGCCTCAACTGGGTCTGGTCCCCCACAGACCCCCGTGAGAATATTTCCTTTTCAAGTCCACAACACAGCCTCCACATTTCCCTGGGCCACATGCCAAATGTCTTTCAACTCCCTACCATGTTCCTACCCTTTCCCTCTCCCTGCATGGAACAACCTCTCCTCCCACTTCCCTGAGAAAACAGAGGCCTTCAAGCATGAATTACCTCAGTGCCCTGCCCACCACAAATTTGCCTCCCTGTCCAATTTCTTTCCACTTCAGCCCTCCCTTCACAGGGGACAATGTGTCCCTCTTGTTAAAGACTAATCCCTTGGGCTAGGCCCTCCTCTGATAGCTCCCTCCAGACAGCATGCCTCTTCTTTCAGAAAAGTTCAGTTTCTTTATACCAGCTCTTTCTTTTCTGGCTATAAAACGCCTATCTCTGTTCTCTAAATAAACAAGGCCCTTCCCTCCCCAGATATGTTCTCTCACTCCCCTAATTTGTGAACTCTCTTTCTCTGTCTCCTCTTTTCCTGCTTTCTTTCATTCCCCCTCCAATTTGTTGAAAGTAGGTCTACCTTCCAGACATTTACTTTCCCCAACTTCCCATTTGTACGTCAGCCACCTGCAATTTAGCCCCCCTCCCCTCCCTCCTAGAGCGAGGGCACTCCCAAAGATCATCAATGACCCCCAAATTGCCAAATTCAACCATTTCTTTGAACTCTGAGTGGCAACAGATACTACTGGCCAAGTCCTCACTTTTGAAACTCTCCTTCCTCTCTTGGTCTTTGTGTTCACATGCTCCTGGTTTTCCTCCTGTTCTGGAAGCATTCCTCTTGATCTCTTTTGCTGACTGACCTCTCTTCCTCTGTCGTTTCCTCAAATCTGTGGTCCTCACATGGCCCTCCTGAAATTCAAGTGCTTCCCGGGTGGCTTTAGGAAAATGCCCTTGCTCTTTCATGCAGCCATTGAAGCCCTCTGCTCCCTAAGTTCAACCTGCCTCTCCAGTGTCCTGCTCCCGATGGCTTCCACTGGGCCTGATCATTCACCTGTAACCTTCTCTGAGTATAAAGCTCCTGAAGGGCTAAGTCCCATCCTGTACAGAGCTGATCATAGAGAAAACAGTAGCTCACAACCGTTTGCAGGGTCTACACTCAATTTAGTGAGTTGCAACCAGCCTTAAAATAATGAATAGCAAATAGAAGCATCACTAATGTGTGAAACTTCTGCTTTTGTCATATATCTAATATCCAGATTTAAAGATACACAAATGCATCTACCAGGTCATGCGGTGAAATAGATTTCTTTTTCAAAATAAATTTTATTGAAGAAGCATTGATTAATAACATTGGATGTTTCCAGTATATAGCATTATAATTCAACATCTGTACAGCAAAATAAAATTCATTTCTTACTAGGATTCCCAGTAACCAAGTTTGACAGCACTGAAAACACCAGATGTTAGTCCAAGATTCATTTCAGAGTCCTACTCTCAAACTGGTTTTAAGTTCCGCTGGGAAGAACAGCAGAGATCAGGAGAATGGTAACCCTGGAAGACTCCGTGGAGAAAGGGGTGAGGAGCTGGACTGGCCTCAAGGGGGCAGAAAGAAGGAAGTATCACTCTGGCTGGGAGAACTGGCACGGAGACAGACAGTAAGAGTAAAGAACATTTGTTAAACGGGGCTCTGTTCTAAGCATTTTGTGTGGATGAATTTGAATGTGACAAGAAACCCTA